AATAATCCTACACACAAGACGAAATGACCACTCTTTCCGTGGAAAATTCCTTTAGGGATCGTTTGTGGTAATGGGGGGTAGAGCTTTTTCCGTGGAGGATTCCTTTAACGCTCTTACATTACTCGTTTCCTCTTGCTTAGTTTTGGGGTAAAGTTTGCTTACTCACAAGTAAGTTGTATGAGGAACACTACATGGGAATCAAGTGACAGCACATAATTTATTAGTGAGAAGTAATAATAATTAGTAATCATTAGTTCACAGCCGTGGCTATGGTCGGATCTGTAGAATATGCACAGATTCAGTGATTTGAGGAATGAAATGCGGTCATTACAAGAGCTGTGTACACGTACTATAATGGAAAAAGTCGACTAGTGCACAGTAAACAGGAACAAACAATATATTTCAGCATTTATAAACAACAAAATGCAGCAATCAATTGCCAGAATTTACAGTGGAAATTCTCTCCACTAAAATGTTACGTGAAATTAACGGCTTGATTCGCAGTTGTGGCAGAAGCTGACAGTGTTTCAGACGTCACAGCGCATCCACTGACCATCTTTGGACCGTTGCCCGAGTATGATCCCGATTGAGCTCACTAGTTCAGGAGCCAGGTAAATGAGGTGTGACCGTGTCGCGTACGCACGCGGAATTCCCGCGAATTGGGGACGCAACTAGGTCTGTAATAATAAATGTGCCCACTGCCCCCTCTTTGTCTGCCACTGTTGCTTTCACCGAGGTTCAGCCTGTTTGAATACATTTGAAGTGGACGATACCAGTGTGAACGATGGATCCGTGGTAGCCATACTAGGACACGTTTCCAAAACGGTTATGAGGGTGTCATAGGTTTTGAGAACAAAATAAGTGAAATAAGCTTCGCTGGATGTGCTTAGCGCAGCATTGGATAATATCGAAAGAAGCATAAGTAATCCCAAATGAGAGGTTCAGTGAATTCGTGTTTCGAGGAGAGGACTTTAAAGTGAACCTAACCAAAGCAGGATTTCCAAGCCTAAGCACTATTCTGGTCATGTGATCAATAGGTATTGATTGCTTATGTTTCTGAATGTCTCCTGACATCCCGCGGAAATCTCTATGGCCAGCATGCTTTGCTTATAATATCGCACATGTGCAGCACTGTTTGGACGTTTCTCCTTGGCGTTTTCCGTTGTCAGGATAGCGACGATTAATCTGCCGAATCAGGTCGTAGAACACCTGAAATTGAGAGATCATTTTTTCTGTTATTCGTAGTTAGGTAAGTTTTGGCAAATATACCCTCCCTTCAAAAAGCGAGAAAGTGTCGGGTGCAGACCAAACACCACAACTGACGACGGCCTCCAAGTAAATCTGGTTAGGAAGTTGTTT